ATGTTTTCGGCACCAAATCGCATATTTCCCGATAAAATATGGCAGATGGAAGTAAATAACGTCTACAAAGGTGATATTTCACAGTAATAAAGAAGTATTTGGTTCATAACTGGGTCGTATGGGGTAGTATTGGGTAGTATTGGGTGGTATTGGGTAGTATTGGGTGGTATTGGGTGGTATTGGGTAGTATTGGGTAATTAGACGCGCCGGTTTTGCACTAAGATGTTTCCACCAAAAAATATTTTGTGGGCGAAAGATTAATTTGTTAGTCCTGTTTAGTTGTGTATGGCTATATATATAGTGTAATAAGGGGAGGTCGGGGGAGGGTTTGCATCCGTTGTCACTCTGTTAAATTCGTTTCGTGATCGAAAAGTTTTTGGTAATGGTAACGAGTCGACAACTTCCCCTGCAGTCCTCTCTAGACCTCGCCTCTTTCGTCAGGTTACAGACCTGTTTTCACTACAGGTTCGAACACTGGATGTAGTGGTAATACAAGCAATTGATTCAATAAGTGAATAGCTCAACAAGGTGTTTCAAAATACAAGTAACTGTTTATTAACAAGACGGAATGAATATGTATAACAAGTTTAACAAATTATATACAAAGCATAGCATTAGTGCCAAACAATGACAACTAATGTTAAGAAATCAATCCCTACGTACTGTATGTATAGAGTAATGGCCTATCAGTACTACCAGTAGACTACAACCACGTGCTCCTAGCTCCCTATAGATCTACAGCGAACCACCATGTATCGATGTCTAAGCCTGAAGCCCCTGACTATCCCTACATACATGTAGTTCCAATAGCACTCTATATATCAGGAACGATAACTTCATGTAGTCCTACGGTATTGGTACTGTTAGCAGCACCTCGGCCCATGTTTTGCACTGTTAACAGCGCATGAGGCGGTAAGGTTCCCCTCACCAGGAGAGGTGGGTTGGCTCACCGACCCTGTCAAGACACTGATCCCCGCCCGGACCCGCTGATTGATACCCCCCTGCTCCCCCCACCAAATAGCCTCGAAGATGAGTGACCAACTGTTAATCTCGAACCCAGCCTCACCATCTTAAAGCATGTGAGCGAGAGGCGGGAACCTGTTCCTGTTATTACTATCACCCCCTTCAGGCCGTCTCAAAAGTGTAAACACACATATTTCAGCACCGGTATCGTAGCAGCTGATCGCCAGGAATCCTACACTGAACGAAAAGCCCTACCCTAAATAAGGGTGAATAACACAGAAAGTAACAGATCCCTGTCTTTAAATCATAAACAACAATTATACTTAACAAAGAAATACAAATGTGAGAAGTAAACAACCTGTATTGGTATCTGAACCGTATTTATCCAGATCCAGATTACGGTTGCCTTCTAGCTTCACGCTAAGGGGAATTTCCCTTTGGCACAGTGGTAGAGCATCCAACTGGGAAGTCTGGGATCGCAGGTTTGATCCCTGGTGGAATCACTGTTTACTCTCTTTTTTCCTGTTACAAATGGTGTCCGTGGCCATCTCTGTGGCGACAGGGACTTGGAACCAGCTGGGTTGTGGTGTTTAAGCTGGGTGAACTCATTTAAAAAAGGGGGGAGTAGTGTGGCAGATTTTAATTGTTCATAGGATTACGGTCGCCTTCTAGCTTCGAGCTAGGGAGAATTTCCTTTTAGCTCAGTGGTAGAGCGTCCGACTAGGAACCGAGGGATCGCGGGTTCGATCCCAGGTGGAAGCACACTACTCTCTTTCCTGTTACAGACTCGTTAGATTCGTACATGGTCGACCAGATCTGTGCATATTTTTATACTGCAGGTTCCTTAATATGATAATTGATCATAAGGTTAGTTAACTGAAATGAGAATATACACATATTATAAGATGAGTTTTGTTTTTATCTATTTCTCAGATGATCCGGAAAGAGGTTCACCGTGTATACGACAGAATTTATGCCACAATCTATGGTCACTGTATTGGAGATGCCCTTGGTTTGTTGACGGAAACTTTGACGAGAGATGAGACGAAGAAGGTATGAGATGAATTCTTGTCCTCAATACATGCAAAAACACCTTTGACTGTGTTCTTCCTGTGTAAAAACTGGATTTATTGCAATTTATCGGATGATTTATTAAAATGTTCTGTGTGTAAGAATTAATCCCAGTAGATTTGTCATCCTCATATGTACATGCTTACAATGTATACTTTTGCTGTTTTACAATAAAAAGGTAAATTTTGTAATGCAAATTTTCAAAGCCTGCTTCTATGTTTGAACTTCAGTCAGTTAATTTAATCATATAGGAAAGCTGTTCTTATACTGTGATATTTCATCTAAAATTGTTCTTTATTTTTTTTCCTGCTCCAAGCCAGTGTATATCTAATCCCTCACCAGAATTTACCTCCTTTCAAGAAAAAAGTGATAATAATACTATTTTGGGAGAAATTTGGAATATTTTAAATGTTTTCGATATTGTTAAGTACCTATTACTGAAGGTCAATTGCAGTATAATTATGTACCCAGTATGTAGTTCAGTCAGGGAAAATCCTGGAGTTTGAGAGCAGGGGGCCATTATTTCAGCAATTTTTAGTCAATATCAAAGTTAAGATGGGTCATTCTACTTAAAATTAAAAGAAAATTGTAATATGGAGGGGTCGATGGTCCCATGGCCCCCTCCAGGATTACTCCTGGTTCTGAAACAGGTAAATACATATCATAAGTTTCATACAATAATTAAATGTAACTACATGTAGACATAAGGTTGCCAGTTTTTTAGGTCACCTGAGACAAAGTCTCAAGTGACCTATTGCGATCGCCTTTTGTCCGTCGTCCGTCGTGCGTCCGTAAACAATTTACGTTTTCGACTTCTTCTCCAAAACCACTGAACCAATTTCAATGAACTTTTGCAGAAACCTTACATGGACAAAGGTCAACAAAAATAGTTGCCGGTTTAGTCCCAAGCCCCCAGGGGCCTGAGGGGCGGGGCCAAAAAGGGTCAAATTGACTAAAATTTCAAAAATCTT